ATGAGGCGCTCTTGAGAGCCATTGAGCAAAGTACTTATTTGAGGTCAGTAAATGGCACTTCTAGACCCTAGAATAATCTAAATTGCATCATATGTTACTCATAATTGAATGGATGTTTCAAATCAGTTAGAATCCCACAGAACCAAGTGCTAATCCTCACTTTTATGGTCGACATTAAGAAAAGGCAGAAAATATGTTCTAATATATCCCTGTGTGGGTTGGGCAATCTGTTAATTTTTGCCATTCACATTTGTTTGTGCTGGTTCCGTCATTCTCTCACTAACTCCTCAAACTCAAGTTGTTCTAATCCATCATGGAAGCAAAGGGTAAGGCCCAGTGTTTCCAAAATTTTCCCCCAGTTAGCTCTATTCCACTTGTTACACCAACACCTGGTTTTTCTCTTGCCTCATGTGCTTCAGAATGATTTGGCTAATTTGCCTGTCTTCTTTATTTGTTTGCAAATTCTATGGGGTCAGAGATCCTTTATGTCTAAACTTTGGTGCCATTTTACACATTTCATATCTGATTTATTAAAAACTAGTTGACAGCCTATTTGATCAGGTTACCATTTTCCACCCAGTAAAATGTCTGTGCTTTAGGGAAAATGACAACAAATCCTAGTAACAAAAAGGCACAGATGCTTGTTGCAAGTTAGATGAAAGATCACCTAATAGATATAAATATTTGAAAGTTTGGCTTTCTGAAAACAGGTATCTCAGAGTAAACTCCAGGTATCATTTTGAAAAACAGCTCTTTTAAATTAAGTAATTATTCATATATGTATATATAAACATATATTGTAATTTATAAAATATAAGTTATATATAATTATAAAATATTAGTAAACAGATTTAACAAATATGTACAAGATCTATATGAAGAAAACTTTTAAGCTTCAGTGAGAGACACAGAAGACAAATAGAAAGTATAAACATATTATTGATTAGAAAAGACCAACATCATAGAAATATTGATTCTACCTAAGTTAACCTATAAATTCAATCTTGTCTTTATAAAAATAGCATCAGGACTTCTGGAGGGAAGTAGCAACAATATTGCTTGAAAGAAAATAAATAAGGAAAATAGGTAGAAAAGTTCTTTAAAATAAAAATAATGAGGGAGACTAGGCCTACCAGACATTAAATACATTCTAGAATGTTAATAAATAAAATACTACAATAATGTAAATAAAGGTACAGATCTGTGCAGATATATTTATAGATAAATATGGAAATTTAGGACTTTTAAAAGATGGCAACTCAAACCAGTGGAGAATTTGGATTATTTAATAAATGGTTTTGAGACAGTGGGATACTTTGGGGGGGAAATGTTTTGATCTGTACATTACATATTATATCTGTATAAATTCCAAGTAGATTGACTATAAATGTATATAAAAAGAAAGCATTAACGTTGGAAAAAACAATGCAAAAGGGACAAACTGCTGCTCACAAAACAGATTTTGTTGATACATAAAGAGCTCCTAAAGCTCAACAAAAAGTGGGCAAATGATACAAATGGTGAATTCATCAAAAAAGAAATATGAAAGGTTTTTAAACATGCAGATGAGTTCAGACTAACTACCAATAAGAGAAATGCATACTGAAGATACCATTAGATACCAGTTTTAATATAATCCAGCTGGCAACACGCTCAGACGATGTGGCTGTAGGGATACAGGTGCTCAATTCATTTCCCACAAGAGCAGAAATTGTATGGCCTCTACGGAGTTTAAGTTGATGATATCTTACAAAGTTACAAACGCACATTTCCCTTGACCTGACAGATCATTTCAAGGAATTTATCATTCTAATATACCTGCACACGTGTGAAATGGCATACCTATATCTTTATTCATTAAGGCATTCTTTGAAATTGCAAAAGATTGGAAACCACTGAAATGCCCATATCTAGGGAACTGGTTAAACCAATGAGGATATGGGGCGCCTGGGTGGCTCAGTCGTTAAGCATCTGCCTTCGGCTCAGGTCATGATCCCTGGGTCCTGGGATCCAGCCCCGCATCAGGCTCCAGCCCCACATCAGGCTCCCAGGAGCACCTGGGAAGCCTGCTTCTCCCTCTCCCACTTCCCCTGCTTGTGTTCTCTCTGTCAAATAAATAAATAAAATCTTTAAAAATAAATAAATAAACCAGTGAGGATATAATCTCTACAATTGATACCATGTATGAAGAATGAGGACGTTCTTTAGGTACTGATGTGACAAGGTCTCTGAAATGATTACATGGAAAAAATAGTACATTGTAAAATAGTGTCTACAATTTGGTATCATTTGTATATTGTATGTATGGGAGGAAGACTACATATATGTTTTCAAGTGAGGATATATTTGTATATACATAAAATATTTCAAGAAGGATATAGGAAACACAACTCATTGGTTTCCTTTAAGATACAGAATAGTTTGGGCTCTTTTAACTGCTTATTGTTTTTCTATGTTTTAAATATTAACTCATGAGAATGTAATTCCTGGTCAGAAGTAAATACTTTTTAAGTAATCACACATTGATATGTGCTGCCTATTTTGTTGTTTCAAAATCCAATGTTGACTTTGTGAAGTTTGTAGTTTGGGATCTAAGTGAACACGTACAATAGAATCCTGTGTGAGTATCTTACAGAGACAGCCCAATATCCTGCCCTACAAATTAGTAAACTGGCTACATGCATGTTTATTTTGAAGCTAGGCTTGCTTCCTACCAGCTGAGTTTTCCTATCTTATTCATTCTAACCACCACCTTTTTAGCAACCATCACAGAAAAAGATGAAATACAGTTGTTCATTATGTCAAGGAAATAACCAATTAGCCATTAGACAATTCAATAAGCTTTGTATAAATCTAGTGAACAGATGATATCTTAAGTAAGTTTGATGAATTATTGTTTAATTCGTTTCTTGTAGAGCCATGTGGACCAACCCCTCCCCCCTTCCTCAGTGTAAATGTCACCTAGCTGCTGATGGGGCGTCAGGACAAGACAATATTTGAAATCCTTTACTTAACACTGGACATCACAGTTCGAATGATGGGAACCAATGAAATGAATTTCCTGGGGTCTCTCCCAAGATGATCCTTTTGCTTCCAACGTCACCCCCTTCTAACCCTGGAGTTGAACGCATACCGCCAAACTCCTTAAGTCAAATCTTGTAATTGCTTCCAATTTGTCTGTTTTGCTTTTGGCAATTAACAAACTGAAATGTTATCATGAAGGAGTTCATCTCATTTATAAGACCAGGTTTTCCCTCCACTAAAATATGCAGGCACTCTGTTCTTTATTACCAGCAGGAGATAAATGGCTGGTTTTCGTTGCTGAAGAATATATAATGGTTAAAAAGTCACTTTTTTCCTCCAGCTCTACATAAATCACAGAACTAGTCAATATTTAATAATGCTTGCCTTGGTCTGGAGTCCCTTGATCACCCCTGTCATGTGTAATAGCTCCCTCTTCGATATCTTTGACATAAAAGCCCAGCTTTACTGCAATACTAACATGTAGAGGGTCATTACGGATCGACATTTACCTTAATCTGTGACTGCCAACCATGAACCGATAAATTCCAGCAGATTCCACTGGGAGAAATCAGTAAACTTCTCAGTGGAAAGAACTGAAGGAAAATTCTGCCGAGAACAGAATACATTTTCTACAAGGGCTGCTCTGCAAATGGGTTCTGACTTTTGAAAGTTCTCTTGCTGCGCAGCTTTGCAACATTTAATACCATTTTGATGGTTTGAGAGACGGGATGACAACCGAAGATGACATGACTTAGGAGGCAAGCAGAAATTTTCTCTGCAAAAACAATGCAAGATTAAACACAAGGGGGAATATGGCTCTTGCATTATTCACCCAGCTGCCTTGGCGAAAATAGCTGGGCTGTCATGGGTCCAGCCTAAATGTTGCTTCTTTTTTTCAAATCGATCATCACTCCTTCACCTCATAATCTTACAAGTGCTTCACAGCAGAATACATCAAAGCCCTGATTGCATAAAAGAGGGACACACCAATCTTTCAGGGAATAAGCTCAAACTCTGACTTTCACTCAACTCGCTGTGCATTTGCTTGCCAACACACTACAAAAATAAGAAGTCATCAAATTCAGAAAAGTCTGTTCCCATCTCTCCTTACCTGTTTTACACTTTGAGGGTGTTATTACGTCCTGCGAATAGTTAACAACTCGTTCAGAAATAAACGTCTTAAAGCCTGGGGAACATCACTTTGTTAAGAGTGTAGGTGATTATATCCACATTATTGCATATTGGTCACTAATTTAAAAAGAAACGCTGAAAATATCTCCTTTAAAAAATAGTGTGGCCACTTGTGAAACTTATAAAAGTAAACCCTTAATAAAATAAAAAAATTAAGTTTCCAGTAAGATATATAGCTACATTTTTCTATGATAAGGGGTTACTTAAACATCATAGCTAACCACACCTAACCTTTAATAACTATTAATAATCAGGTGGGCTTTGGTAGTACTTTCAAGGAACCCACTGCAGTCCAATTTATGTCCAATTAATATACTGGAACACACACACCAGCATAGTTTAGAAATGGTAAAACAATCACAAAAATCATTTACTTAAGACAGACGACAGAATTAAAGCTCAACTCTGTGCGTAAATAATATGTTAGGTTTCCACCACTTATTAAGCAAGGGGAAAGAATATAGAATATACAGTACACTGGTCTTTCTCAGACTTAAGCATGCATCAGAACCACCCAAAGGGTTTGTGAAAACAGAGTGCTGGGCCCCACCTCCCGGGTTTCTGAATCGGGGAGAATTGACAACGTCCCATCCTACAGTGTATGAGATGAAACTGTCGTCGCTGCTCTGGGGACCACACAATGAGAACTGCGGCTCTAAACTCATCAATAAAGGCTATTTTTAGGGAAAATAAAGACATCAAAATCTGTCGCTCAAAGAAAGATTTCAAAAGGAAATAAACGGTTTTGTGACGTTACAAAAGTTTAAAAATCATAAACGAGTTACCTTGATCGGCATAGAAAATCCCAGTGAAAAGGACTGAGTATGTCAAGCGTCCATTAGGGTGAAAAGGTGCGTCCCACCTCACGTGGGCTTCCCGGGATCCCTCTGTTTTGACAAACACGTTTACTGTTCCTTCAGGAGGAGCTTCTAGAGTTCGATTTTCCACCTATGAGTGTAAAAAGATTTATTTTTTGTTTGCAAATAAGCACATGCTTCACTTTGAGCATATTTCTTCAAAGAATCTCTTTTGCTGTGAAGTAAACTATTTTGACAGTAGCATCTTGTATGAATACCTCATTTTGTCAGCAGGATCAAAGCATAGCTCGTGTGTTCTTCCTCCTGCTGTTCAAGCTTAGAATTTGAGCTCCTGACCGAGGCGGTTGTTTGTGAATGTTTTCAGAGTATGTGGATCAGCTCACACTGTGATGGCGCCTATGGCTGTGCATGTCCACAGACTCTTTCTAGAACTGCTTAAAAACAATTTTTATGTGATTGCAGAAGAGAGGGAAAGGCACAAGTTCTGTTTTCATAAGTTCCTGGCTGGAGTGGTCGGCTTTTGGGCTTTGTCAAAGGCTCTTGGTCGGCCTGCCTGCCGGTGGGCACGCGCACTCACTCACTCACGCACACACAGGCTTCGCCGCACTGTGTTGCTACCAGGTACATAAAGACGGTATCCTGCCAGACAGACATCAAGAAATAAATGTACCTGAGTGACTCCATCCCTAAGGTATAATCACAAAAACGTTGAAAATTTCATTAATAGAGTATTAATGAACCTATGCAGAAAAGAGCGGAAGATGAACTAGTTAAAGAGAAGGACTTGGAAGGAAAATGTAAGCCCTAACTGCACAGGGGCCAGGAAGATTTTAGTGGCTAAATATATAAAATGACTAGGTGACCAGAGGATGGTAAGAGTGGCAAGAAAGTAGAATGGGGTTCAGGATATTTAGCATCTTCTAATAACTGGCTTAAATTTGTTAACTAATCACCACAAACTCATAAGCACCCTCGTAAATGTTCGACCTTTTAAGGTGTATTGAATATGTTGATAATTTTGACCTTATTCTTAAAGCACAGGCTCATGCCTTACCAGAAGGTGATCAAACATGAAATCCTTAGGCAGGCAAATATTCTCAATTATGAAACCTTCATTTGTTAGGGCGAATATACTTTCCCAATTATGAAAATAAATGTGAAAAAGACAGAGTGTTAATTTTTAATAAGTATGAGGTCACGACATGTTTTATTTTCATCTGAGAAAGGCTATGGGGTTCTTTAGATCTATAACTCCTACTCATTTTTTAGTCTAATAACTATGTACCAAAAAATGATAAAGAAACTTGACTAGAAAAAATATCAATTCATCATTTTAATATTTCATAACAATGCAATTGGTTTCATTATGTCTATGTATATAATTCAAACTATTGCATGGAAAATGATTTTAAAGCGTACCAAATAAAATGAGATTCAAAAAGTTGAAGAATTAAGGGCAATTCCAGATAATTATATTAATATCCTCAAATATCTGGTTAATTCAAAGTGATATATTTTAAAAATTTCCTTCAATATGTGGATAAATACCTCGGTTTTTACTCTACATGAAATCTGGCAACTGTATTATTTTGCTTCAACTCAGTCTTTAAAAAAAAAATTACCTCTTTGTTTATCTTGCCTTAAGAAGAATATTAGGGAATAGGCATTCTGGAAGGCTGCCTTTTACCTAGAAACCTCTCCTGACACAGAAAAAAAATTTTTGAGAATAAATGTGCCATGAAAATATAAACATTTTAATAAAATTTTTATCCTTAATAAGACTCTTATCATGGGGTGCCTGGGTGGCTCAGTTGGTTAAGCGACTGCCTTCGGCTCAGGTCATGATCCTGGAGTCCCGGGATCGAGTCCCGCATCGGGCTCCCTGCTCAGCGGGGAGTCTGCTTCTCCCTCTGACCCTCTCCCCTCTCATGCTCTCTCTCTATCTCATTCTCTCTCTCAAATAAATAAATAAAAGCTTTTAAAAAAATAAAAAAATAAAAAATAAATCTCTTATCATGTACCAGAAATCCTTTCGTAAATATTTCACTGAAAATTTTACATCAATCCTGTTTAAAGTGGGCATTATTTTCCTTTTTTTTTTTTTAAAGATTTTATTTATTTATATGAGAGAGAGAGCATGAGTGGGGGGAGGGTCAGAGGGAGAAGCAGACTCCCCATTGAGCAGGGAGCCCGATATGGGACTCGATCCCAGGACTCCAGGATCATGACCTGAGCCCAAGGCAGTCGTTTAACCAACTGAGCCACACAGGCGCCCCCATTATTTTCCTTTTGTTAAGAGTTGAAAAATCTGAGGCTTAGTAGAGTAAGTATGTTTGCCAGTGAGGCACAAAGAATAATAGCAGGCTTAGAGTAAATTTCCCATTTAGGATTTTCTTGACAGTTGCATATGGTCATGGAGATTTAGATGTCTTAAATAACAAATTTGTTTCTTTGTAAAAAAACAAATGTGAAAAGGTGAGTATGTGTATATGTGTGTTTAGGTGTGATTATGTGTATAAACATGCCATCACTAAGAAACCAAAGCAGCTTTTTAACCATATCCCATGGCAGTGACATATAGTTTCACATTTCATCCTTAAGAGGGTCCTTGGAGAATTGAATCCAATGAATGTTCCAAGGCCAGACACAGTCATAAAATTCCCAATCTTAGACTCTACCAGTACTATCTAACATTAGCTAAGTGGAAAAAAACAAACAAAAGCAAAGTGATTATCCTATGGATAAATTCAATGCTTCTTATTATAGCAAGACAAAATGTGAAGGGTTTCTCTCTAGTATAATTCAACAATATAATTGAAAGCAAGGATAGCTTTTAAAAAGTTATTCTCTGTTGCATTTTCTGTTAATTTTTCATTATTTCCAACACTTATAAAACTTCAATTACTGGATTAAATTTGACAATGCATATTAGCATCTTAAAATTAGGATCAAAGGCATTATAAATTGTTTTCAACTTTGAAGTTTCTTTAAAAGCCAAATACGTTGTGTAATTGGATGAGAACTAAACAAACTACGAAAAAATCTTTTTTTCAGATGGGTACAGAGTAATTCTTTCCAAATCACAAGTAACAGGTAATAAACTTGGTCAGGCTAAAAACAAAACATACTGAGACTACATTAAAATGGCAAAAATGTGGAATATATGTATGCATTTTTATTTTTAAAATATTCTATTTCTATCAAATTTGTCCTTTTTACTGTTTTGTCCCCCTTTATTATTTAAGCTTGCCAATTTTGGGGGTGAACCATACCACATTCAGGAACAGAGCATATTTACCACAAAAAGACATAGAATAGTATTTCCCTGCATGCATGTAAAAGAATGATACCAAGTATCATTGTATGTAAGAGATGTAAAATAAACAGGTTTCTCTTTCCAAAAACCAAGAATTATCATCCAAAAATGTTGTTAGGTGAACAAAAAAAATCGACTCACAAAAAATTTATTTTTCAATTTCTGCCAGCAAAAGATTTAAAAACAGAAATCATGAATTTTTTGCTTCAGTGAAACTCTTGTTGTAACATTGGCTTTAGATGAAAAATACCCTTAAGTGATGTGTGTGTCTGAATCTGGACTATCCTTCATGATTGTGATAGATATCCGGGGAGATTTAGAATATTCAGATATGTAATCTCTTAAGGGCACAATATGTGCTCTTAATTGGCACAAAAATATTTTAGAAACCAATTGAAGACCGTAGGTTTTAGCTTCTTGGCAGCATGTAGTTGACTTGTTCTAAATAAAGACATTGTTGTTCAATCCCAGTGATTAGAGATGGATCATTGACTTGGGAAAAGCGTTTGCATACTGAGCACAGGATAAAGAAAAGTAGCAAGGGGAGAAAATAACCGTGCTTTACGTCAGGACCGAGTCTAGAATGTACGAGGCCATGGCAGAGCAGGTTTTACAATCCAATTCTGTTTTCTCCCTTCCCGTCAGGGCACCGTGGCATTTGATTTCTTAAGGTTAACATCGCCTACTATCTTATCTGCACAGGACGCAGATCAATAACTGTGTCCCCCTTGTTTAAAGTTGCCAGAACATCAAGAGACGGTGTGGGAGCCAATTTAGTAGCCAGAACCACAATGTGCAGTTTTTATTTTTGAAAAAGCCTAGGTTTCAAGCTCATGTGAAGTGTTCTCGGGTTTCTTTCTCTCTTCTTTTGAATGGAGAAGAAAAGCTGGGCTGTTGCCATTCCTGCTTTAGAGTAAGTAACCATCAGTGGGTCTGAGCTATAAAATACTTAATGGCAGTAAAGACTACGGATCAGCCCCACCAATAGACGATGTTAGCAGCTTGGAAAGCAACCAACCTCTGAAACGAAATGGAAGGTGTGATCAAAAATAAGGAAGCAAAAATGAAACTGTAGAGCTGTTTTCCAAGGTAATATTTATATGATACACTCTTCAATGAAGACAGAGTGCATTAAAATGATAGAGCATTAGCAAACATTGCCAAAAATATCTAAGAGTAATGAACATTTCCCTTAAAAGAAGTGAAATCTAATGAAGAATGCAGAAAAATAAAATCTGATGTTTTGAAACTAAAGAATGCCATGCTGGTCTATGACAATTATGCGCTATTGAGTTTTAAAAATTATATGAAAAATAAAAAGCATGATTTGTCAATCTTTTAACAGCTAATGAAATACAGATATACCTATGGATTTCTGAAATGTGGCTATCAAAAGCTAATATTTGTTCAATTTTAAATACTGTTCTTGTGAAACTGTATCACACTGATGATATAAATCTATTTTGTGCTGTTAGATGAGGCAAGCTTAACCTTCTAATTGACTGACCTTCTTGCTGGGCGGCTGTGTTGCCATACGGTGGCAATCATGGACTTTCAACTGTTTTCACTTTTTAATCACAAACTTATTTGTTGAGCCCATTATTAGAAAGAAAAACATCCACTTTAAATAAATATGTAACTAAACGAAACAAAATCGAATGTACTTCTGCTCAACCGGCCAAATTCCCTTGAAGAATTTCAGTGAAATATAAATTCTGTCCTTCACTAGATCTATGTGTAATCTTGAAATTTATGTTGAACATAAACTCTTACTAAGTCTTAAATAAAATTTTATAAAAAGAAAATCTCCCATCCTGCTTGAAAGCCTAGCTGTGCAGAGAGTGAGTCACCACCATTTACTTCTTCCTTGATATTTACTGTCATCTGACATCGAATACATTCCCAGAATGTAAATGCACATACTCACCAGTGGGCCCAGAGCACAACCTTTGGCCGTGCATGCTTGGACTCTGAAGGAATGTAAGCTCCAAGGAGCAAATCCATAAGCATGACAGCTGAGTTCTGAGGAATTGTGAATTAATACACCATCCAGATATAGTCCATAGCTTGTGATAACACCTAGGAAGATAATAGTGGACCTTTAGCATGACAACCAGACAACAGCAAAGAATGTCTTAAGAAAGCAAGCACTTCTTGATGTGATTTCTAATTTCATGGAATTACTGAATCACAGTATTTGGTATTTTCCCTGGTCTAAACCCTGTCTCTTTCCAAAGGATAAAACAGGCATTAAACTCTTTTAAATATCAAACTGTTAAGCTAATTAGTATAGAGGCAGAAATAGAACCCAAGAGTCCCAGTATGGGACTCTTCCTATAGCATCATGTTAACTGCTATCATTTGTGTTCCAGATCAAACATGAATAAATTAAGTACATTTATAATTTGTATTGCATTCTAAAATGATATCCTTAATAGATGTGCTCTAGAAGTCAAATGACCTTATTTGTTAGTGCATTATACATTACTCAGGATGTGTCAGGCACTGTTCTAAGCACCTGTTGTGTGTGAACTCCTTTTTAACCCTCTCCTAGCAGCACCACCAGAATAGAGGCAGTATTATTATCATCCTTTTATAGATGAGGAAATTCAGGCAAGACAGGTAGGTAACTTGCTCAAAATCACATAGCTGGCCAGTGCTGGAGTCAGGATTTGAACCTAGGAGGTCCGGGTCCAGAACCCATGTTCTCAACCGCAATATTATATAACCTAACCATAAACACCTTGCACAAATTGCACAAAGTACATTCATGAGACACTCATGAATGGGTTAGAGAAACTATGATTTACTAGTTTTAATGATCAACTAAAATTTATTTCAGAAGGAAGTTTATGTGTCTTTTCATGAAATCAACTAGGAGAGATATGAGAAATTAAATAGTTGTTGAATATGATCATTTGAATTATGCAATCAAAATATTTTCATTAAAAGGAAGTTAGGGATCTATGTTCTCTGGAATTACAGAATCCCTAAACTGATCAAGCATTGAGAAATAAAACTTTGCTTATATGCTAAATTGGAACTTCTTTCAAACTAAAATTAATTTCACAGTGGCTGCTTAATTGCCTCACTGTAGGATCCCCAAGGCAATCTTGACTCTTCCTCACTTGTGTATTTCTAGAGCTTAGCATCATGCCTAAAACATAGTAGGTATTTAATATATATTGATTGAATGAATAAATTAATGAACACACAGCAGAGTAGAAATATCAGCATCCAAACTAGAGGGAAAATGTAAGGCTACAGGAAAAAGAGATAACTTGCTACCTGAAATATGAAAAGAGACTTGGTGAAAAGATGATATTAAAAAATAGCTCAGTGATAGATCTGGAGAAGGAATGGTTTTGAAACAGACTCTAGCAAAGTCAAGGCTGTCAAGGAATTCAGATGGCTTCCAAGAGGCCTGACTCTTAGCCTGGGAACTCCAAATTTGGTCTCATTAGTGTCCTGAAGGAAGGTCAAACCCTCACCCATCATTGCATTAGGGCTAACATTCCTGGTAGGACCATGACATCAAGAGCTTTTTCCTGAGTGTCCCTTCCTCCTAGAAAGAAATTCCTCAGTTCCAGAACCTGCTCACGATGTTTGGCAGCACCATCATCTGCAAAATTATAGAATGCTGCACTCATTGTCAGGATATCCTTTACAACACTGCTTTGGATTTAAAAATCAGTTTATAGCAAAACAAGTAGGGTGTGAGTTGCCGCCATAAGAGTTACTCATTTTATGATATACCTCATCAACCCCATAGCCTAAAAGACTGCTGGAACAGCCTCCTGAAGCCCACATTATGGCCCAGGCTGGGTGATAACACCTGTGGATTTAGGGCTTCCTACAGGATGCTTCACCTGATTTGAGCTAGGGGTCAGTATTTGATGCTGGCTTTTCTATAGTGAGAAATGTGGAAATGGGAATCAAGAGAAGGTAGAGTGTTTCCTCTTACTATTACACTTAATAACCTACCTAAAATATTTTTGCTTTCTCTAGCCACAAAGAGGAATACTTATGTTGTGGGTTGCAAGCAAGGTACCACTAAATTAGAAACACATCTATAGTCTGCTCTGTGTGCTGGGCTTAAAAGTCCATCCTCTGTATTTGCAGCCCTCTGGCTTGATGGCTTCCTCTTGGATTTCACCAATAGGAGGCGCTGTAAGGTGGGCAGAAAGAGGAAGACAGAAAATGTCCAATTTTTAGCTCCAGAAGCTGAGGCTTTTGCTGACTGTTGAGGTCAGTAGAGGGACAAAGCAGCTGTGGCCTCAAGCAATCCCGGCAGCAGAAATGTCTCTTCTGCGTTTCCAGCTTCTTCAGTACTGGACTCTGGGTGGCCCTTTAGCACCGGCTGGGGCACCGCTTCTTGATGGTTGAAGCATCACATCAGCAAATCCGGCAGCTAGCAGCAGCCGAGGCCGACTCAGAAGCCAAAGACCAGGGAAGTTAGCAGCTCTCTGACAATCACCTTTTTTGTTTCTGCAGCCCTTCCAACACATTTGTAACCAACCCCCTATATTGAATATAGTCTGTCTTATATTCCTAGCACGTTTTCTGTTCCACTAGTTAGATCCTGGTCAGTGCATCCTTTAGGATGAAAGCTGTTCTTAATCTCAGGAAACAAACTGAGGGTTGCTGGAGTGGTGGGAGGTGGGAGGGGTGGGAGGGATGGGGTGGCTGGGTGATAGACATTGGGGAGGGTATGTGCTATGGTGAGCGCTGTGAATTGTGTAAGACTGTTGAATCACAGACCTGTACCTCTGAAACAAATAATACATAATATGTTAAAAATAAGAAGATAGTAGGAAGGGAAAAATGAAGGGGGGGAATCAGAGGGGGAGACGGACCATGAGAGACTCTGGACTCTGAAAAACAAACGAGGGTTCTAGAGGGGAGGGGGGTGGGGGGAGGGGCTAGCCTGGTGATGGGTATTAAAGAGGGTACGTTCTGCATGGAGCACTGGGTGTTATACACAAACAATGAATCATGGAACACTACATCAAAAACTAATGATGTAATGTATGGTGATTAACATAACATAATAAAATAAAAAAGATAAAAGTAAAAAAAAAGCTGTTTATATTTGAATGAGCTAATACTTTTTTTAAAAAAAGATTTTATTTATTTTTTTTGACAGAAAGAGAGACAGTGAGAGAGGGAACACAAGCAGGGGGAGTGAGAGAGGGAGAAGCAGGCTTCCTGCTGAGCAGGGAGCCCGATGCAGGGCTCGATCCCAACACCCTGGGATCATGACCTGAGCAGAAGGCAGACGCTTAACGACTGAGCCACTCAGGCGTCCTGAGCTAATACTTTCTATTTATTTATTTTTTGAGCTAATACTTTTTAAATAAAGCTACTGCTCTATCTTATTTTCCTTGATGAGGATAACTTTGTATAGCTTATCTTTTAAGAGCAGGTCCATTTCCCTCATTTCCAAATTTTGGGGTAAGTGTATTTTACTGTCATATAGCCCTTTGGCTACACACAAAAAAGTACAGCTGCCAACTTTCTCCTTTATTCTAGTAAGACCGTCTCTGATAACTCTGAGAATACTTATAGAAAGTATTTAGTTTAATGCCATTTAATACTCAACACACAAAAGCACAGATGAATTAAAACTAAGAAATGAAAGATATACAGTGTAAAACTAAATAGTCACAGGAAATTTAAGAGAAGAAAAAGGGATAAAATCACAGTCATAATCATGATAAATTATGACGTGCCAGGCACTCTGCTAAGCAATCATTTAATCCTCACCAAAAAAAAAAAAAAAATCTTATGTGCAAATAATGTGTTGGAGAAGCTCTTAAAGAAATTGTAAGACCCTCAAAATGCTATCTACTTGACCTGCTTTTCAACAATGACATAGAAAGTACCCAAATCAATATTTCCATTTTCTTACATAATTGGGGAGTATTTCTTTTATGCTAGGATTATGTGCATAATATCTCATTTATCTGACATATTGGGAAATGACATATTTCATAGAAGTTAATTTTCGTTATAACTAAGTCGCATTTCTTAAGTACAAACTTTAAGAATCTTAACCATTTTTAAAGGAAATCTTTCTAGAAAGGACTCCACAGTACTCACCTGTCTTCCCACACAGACTATAATGAATATGATTGAATCATCTTGTGATGACTCAAACCATGCATTATGGACATCAAAGGCTATATTCTCTAATTCAGTAATACCCTCAGGGACCCATGAGATCTAGGATACTTGCCCAGCTTTTACCCATCACATCACTCAGTGGCTATACTTAATCATTTCTTATGTCTGCTTTTTGAGTTCTCCTTCCTCCCTCAAGTGACAGTCTCTCAAAAGTTTCTTCTTTGTTTTGTCTACCTGACTTTAGCAAGTCAACCCCTAGCAAGCGATGCTAAGAAACTAGATAACCATGATGTCCGGAACTATGGATAAAGAAATAATAGACAGTTACTAGGAGAAGGGCTTAGAGTAAGATGAGTACACGGCAAATGAGCTGAGAATAAAATTAAGTGAGATTTGTGACAGTTAATTCAACTGCGCAGAAACTTTTTAGTATCTAGGATGCATCTGAATGGAAAGGTGGATGAAACTGAGGCCCAGCTTTCACGCGGGTGAGATTGCACACATGCACGCATGCACACATGCGCACATACATGCAGAGTAACCCAGCATTCTGTAGGTAACCACTATTTGACAGCACTTGTAGGAAGTGCTAAAAGATCAATTATATAGATCTAAATTGTAGAATCCAGGTGTACACTGGGTAAGTGTTGTCTGACCCTTAAATCATATTGGACAAGCTCTTCTCCCTCCCCCACCATACCAACTCCACTGAGTCATGTAGACTGTACATTTCCAATTGATCTTCACCCATCACCATACTCATGGCCACCTAGTCCATTCTGCCATCACCTCATATCTGAGAATAATAGCCACCTACGTGTTTTGATGCATTATTCATGTTTCCACACAATTCATTCTTCACACTGCAGACAGAGGGCCATTTTTCAAAACCCATATTGGAACATGCCACATGCAATCAGTGATCAATCAGACCTTCGCTGAGTACTAGCGAG